GGTGGACTCAGATTTCAGCTTTCAAAAACCTACAATGCAGCAATTGAGTTGATTCCTTCCTGCTATCATCATAACCCCAAACCCTTTACAGGGGAACAGAAGATCTCGCCTATTCAGCCAGGCTAACAATCCCCTTTAATGACCCTCCTTTCAGAGACATAGACAGGTATGGAGCACTGCAGTGTAATAAAAGCCAAATGACCCCAATTCCAAAGGGGTGGACCTGTTCGCCTGTTCCAAATTTGCACGTTTTCAAAACAAAAGCAAGGCTTTGTTGGGCTACTGCATAAAACCTGGAACTCAACGCTATTTCTGACATTTTGAATTGAAAAAGCTTCCTAGATGGAAGAGAAACGTCTTCAAACTTGGAAACAAAGTCCGGTGGGTTTTTTGGGGGGAATGATTGATTGATTTAATTTTATTTTTTACATCCATACATTTTGTTTCTGCTGTCAAAAATGTAATTTAGAAAATCTATAATCACAGTTCTGATTAGTAGGAATCTAATTTTGACCAATAAGAGTCCTACTTTAGTGAAGGAAAAACAGAGAGGAGAGCGCTTTAATAAATGACACAATGGCCTGCCATAGCTAAGCTGCTGGGGAAAATACCAAGGATGATGAAGAAGATGATGACGTTGTCAGAGCTGACAGCGGAGGAAGAGGAGGGGCAGCGGTGATAGGTGTGAGATAATAGCAAAGCGGTATGGAAGCAGCTGCGTGAATCAGAGCAGCTGATGTGGATGTTCAGGTGACTGCGGGCTGCTCCTCACTGCCTGTGGCCGGACCCCAGCTGCTCCACTTGCCTCAGAGAGCAGGTCAGGCTGTCACAGGGATCCATAAACTCAGGTAGGCTGCGATAGTTTTTACCCTGTTATCTCCAAATAATCGTGTAACATTATCAATCAATACGCGAATCCTTTAACAAGCTACTGCTAAAAAACGTAGACATTTTATATTGTCAAGTTGAGCTAGCCTGATAAGCTAGCAGGGGGATTTCGGTCAGCTTTTGAGCGAAAGTAACACCAACCAATCAGATTTCTTCCTCACAGCTGCTGTCAGATATTCGACCAATGAGGGCGAAGGGAAGGCGGGGCTACGGGTCATACTAACGTGCTTACTGAAAGTTCCATCGGTGCTGTTTACAACAGTGCAGCGGATTTGTTTATGCAACTCAGCTGATAGAAGGAAAGCAGGACAGCCAGCTGCCATGTTAGCCTCATTCAGGACGGCTTCTCACCGCTATTTAGACATTAATAACAATAACTGCACTCCAAACGCCTTTATTGTTGACACATTAACCGATTTAAGGTTAGCTGGGACCAGCCTCCAGACGAAGGATTAGCGAACGAAACAAAAAACCGAACTAAATTCTCCTTATAAAGCAGATAAACAAGTGGTCCTGTAGTAAAAACATGGCGGAATGTTCTGGGTTGGTTTTTCTGCTCTTTCCTCTAGTGACCCAAATACTGTTGACCCAAAGACGCCCACACTGACCATGTTTTATGGCTTCAGCATTTTCGATTGTTACGTCATGTTTTACAGTTCAGCCCCAGTGCTTTCTACCTTTCAATCAACGACTTTGATCTACACAGAATCAGTGGAGAGAGCAGATGATAAGGCTGATGGGAAGGAGCCCCTTTAGATGAACAGGGAAACATGCTTGTTTACATCGATCATTGCTGTTTGTCTGAAAAATGCAAAGTATCTGACAGCTGCAATCCTAACAAAGGCTTTTTTTTTAGTTATTATTGAGAAGAAGCTAAATATAACTTGTATAATTTATCATCTACTGGAATTTTTCTGCTGTTAAAAGGGAGTTTTTCCTCTCCACTGTCGCTACAAGCAATCAACTGGTTTACCTTAGACAGAAAACTTTGAATCAATCTGACTGGATGATCTGGTGAACCTTGAGATGACGTGCTGTGATGAATTGGCACTATATAAATAAACTGAACTGAATTAAATTATAAATGAATAATTTGTTTTAACTGGTTTATCAGCAGTAATAAAGAACAGATAGTTCAGAAGGTGCAAAGACATCAGATGTGCTTCATGCACAGTTGATTCACTTTCAAAATGTATTTAGTGTCCATTTATTTATTTATTAAATGTATTTATTTTCTTTAATCCCATTTTCTACAAAGTAAATTTGTTATGTGACAGATAAGATTTCAGCAGCTCAATAAATGTTTAGCTTACATCAAAAGTAGAACTGCAACTAACGATTATTTAGCAAATCGATTAATCTGTTGATTCTTTTTTCGGATGAATCGATTAATAATCAGCAAAAGGTTCCTTAAAAAAGATTTTTTACTAACTGAAACCAGTTGAAACTAAATCTTTTCCCATGGAGGAGTTCTGGATAGACCAGATTGACAGATGAAAAATGTTTTTTCATCCTAAATGCAAAATGTTTATCTATTTTTAATACAATCTTGGTATAATTCCTGCTCTAAGTGGGTCCCTCTGTTAGCTAAAGGCCTTATTAAGAGCCTCTATACTCCAGTTAACGATTAATTGATTATTAAATGATTTAATTATTTCAATAATCGATTAATCTGATTAATTGTTTCAGCCTTAATAAGAAGTTATCATATTTTTATTAGACAAAGCCTTCTGCTTTGCATCAGAACATAAACTGATCAAAGACTTTTATTTGGGTTAAATTCTTCTCATGGGTCCAACTCTTAACAATCGCTGCCTGTGAGTGGCTTTGGTTTTACTCTTGCCTCGTGGTATCATCTCCATCTTACTGAAAAATACACAGATCATCACCAGGTATTGAATGCACGGCTGAAATAAGTTGGTTTGACTCAAAGACAGACAGGACTCTGAGTCACCTTCAGATAAAATGATTTTCTGGATGTTTCTTTAGAGAAATGAGCCCAATAGAACTGTTCTGGCATAGAACTAGCATCTTTTGCAGGATGTTTTTATTGGGCAGGCTGGTTTCTTTGCTGCTTATTTTGTCACATTGGCTGCTCTCCAAACTCTCCTTCTTCATGCAGGCCTGCTCATTCTTGCCTGCTGCCTTGACTGATCAAGCTCTGCACTGGTGGCTCTCACTTCTGTAGTGGATCCTTCAGGCCAAGACATTCCTAAAGCCAGCTCGATATTCTTGAAAACTCCTAAATGCTGAAGTTCTTGAGCTTTCAGGGTTGCATCAGCTTTCTTCCCAGTAGATGGAAATAAAACGACGGCTGCTTATTTTCTCTGTGTTAAACGATGCTGCATCATTTCAGCTCTTCTGTCTCCAAGTTCAACTCTTTAATTAGACCTAGACTGACATAGACTTGGGCTATGTTCCCACAGCAGCCTGAAGTGACCCAAATCCAATTTTTTTTTTTTTTTTTTTTTTTGCACACATGCGACCTCGATCTGATCTTTTCATTACAGTCTGAACAACACAGATCCGATACGAATCTGATCTTTTCAAATCCGACCTGTGTCTGTACGGCCAGATCGCATTCATCCGAACTGAACACCATTAATACCCGACAAAGGGCACTATTCTGGGTCTTGCTACGCAGAAGTTGCAAGCAAAACAACAACCATGGCAGATGATGATGCAGAGAGCAGTATTTATGTTTAATCCTCTTGAAAAGATTGAGTTTTTAACGTTGGGAGAGATCACTAGATGTTCTCCAGCACTACCATCCATGTTTACTTCCATAAACACAGAGCACGCTCGCTATATGTGACGTCATTGCGTCCTCTACTGCGCATGCGGGACACTTGCGTTGTATGACTTCACACAGAAGATCACATACAAGTCGCATATATTTGGAAATGTGAACAGCAACGCAAAAAAAAAAAATCGGATTTCACAACAAAATCAGAATAGAGCATCAAGGCCTGAGGTGTGAATGTAGCCTTTGTCTAAGTCTAAGTAAGTCTAGACTTAATTAGGTTGATGAAGTGGTTTTAGCTGGACCCCAGTTACCCAGAGTGCTGAATGAATGGAACAAAATTATTTGTTTTTATTGAAGCTTTCAGAACAATTTTGCATATAAAGAAAAAAACAAAACAAAACCATCATGATGATCATGTCAAGAACTGAGGGAAGATTAATAAAGTCATCTAAATACTCTTCTAAACTCCCTGATTATGTCCAGTGATTGTGGTGGTTGGTTAACTGTGGCTGAGTGACAAAGAAAAGTTCATTTCCTGTCCTTATTAACTAGGTCTCCCAGGTTGTTTGTGTGCTGATCCCTTTAATGGTATGTGTCCTGCCTGCAGATGGGTCAGGCACTGTGGAGGCTTCCTCCCAGACAACAGCAGCAGCTTCAGGAAGAGCTGGCCGACCGCCTGACGGAGAGCGGAGGAGGAAAACAAGACCAAGGTATTTCTACCGCCTTCCTTCTACAACCCACAGTTATCCTGAATCCTTTGAGGGGGAAAAAAAAGAAGCTAAATCTGAGATTTAAAACATGAAAGAAGAGATGGAAGATATAGATACCTCTATATGATTTATTACCTCATGTTTTCACTGCTGACCGGAGAAATATCCGCCCTGTTTTACTGATGATAGACTTAAAAAATCATCACTGCAGGCAGAAAGTTGCAGATATTTATAATGGAAACAATGACTGCATCCTTACAGATGAAAATGGAAACTTTTCACCAGAGATAGAAAATGGATAAAGAATATATCTGTCTATAAAGTAAAGAAACTAGACATATGATTCTTTTTTTTTACATTTAACTTGATGAATTGTTGTTTTAACAAATAAATAAGGAAGAAAATTAAAAAGTAGAAGGAAACATGCATGATGGGTCTTCTTAAAGGTATAGTGGAGGATGTTCTATTTCC